TAGGTCAAAAGATTATCCAATTATCTGGATTCCTTTCAGTCCGGTTTCAGGCCTGGTTACAGAACGGAAACTGCTTTGGTCGCGCTGATTGATGATCTCTGGCGAGCCAGGTATAAGGGTCTCTCCTGTATCCTAGTGCTCCTTGACCTCTCAGAGGCCTTCGATACCATCGACCATGGTATCCTTCTGCGACAGTTACGGGAGGTAGGAGTGGGAGGCACCGTCCTACGGTGGTTCTCCTCCTACCTCTCGGACAGGGTGCAGTCGCTGTTGGTCGGAGGGCAGAGGTCGACCCCTAGGCCCCTCAATTATGGGGTGCCGCAGGGTTCGGTCCTGTCCCCCCTCCTATTTAACATCTATATGAAGCCCCTGGGTGAGATCATACTACGGCGCGGGATTAAATACCACAAATATGCCAACAACACGCAACTGTATCTGTCCGCCCCATCCCAACTCAGTGAAGCAGTAGAAGTGATGCGCCAGTGCCTAGAGGCTGTAAGTGTCTGGATGGGAATGAACAAGCTTGCACTCAATCCTGACAAGACCGAGTGGCTATTGATGCTCCCTCCCCAAAATGGTCCAGCTATTCTATCCCCTAGCCTGGGGGGTGAAATCATACGCCCCTCAGAAAGGGTTTGCAATTTGGGAGTCCTTCTGGATCCACAGCTGACGTTAGAACATCACTTGTCGGCTGTGACCAGGAGGACCTTTGCCCAGGTTCGCCTGGTGCACTAATTGCGACCCTACCTGGACCGGGAGGCCCTTCGGATAGTCACTCACGCCCTCATCACCTCAAGACTTACTGTAACACGCTCTACATGGGGCTGCCCTTGAAGGGTGTTCGAAGACTTCAGTTAGTCCAGAATGCAGCCGTGTGAGCGATTGTGGGTGCACCTAGGTACACCCACATTATACCTATCCTCCACGAGCTGCACTGGCTGCCCATTGGTTTCCAGATACGCTTCAAGGTGCTAGTTGTTACTTTTAAAGCCCTGCATGGCATCGGACCTGGTTACCCGAGAGACCGCCTCCTGCCAATTACCTCCCAAAGACCGATTCAATCACACAATCGAATCCGCTTTCTCCGGATTCCATCCGCCAGCCAATGCTGGCTGGCGACCCCCCCGGGGGAGGGCCTTCTCTGTTGCAGCTCCGGCCCTCTGGAGCGACCTTCCCGTTGAGATCCGGACCCTTACTACCCTCCCGGCCTTCCGTAAAGCTGCTAAGTCCTGGCTGTTCCGGCAGGCCTGGGGCTGTTGAATGTATCCAGCCCCACTTAAATTGTGAATGTTGTTGTATTTTAAATTGTTGTTTTGTCTTATTTATCCCCCTTCCCTTTTTATTGTAAGCCGCCCNTCAACTTTGAATGTGGCCCAAAGAACAATATAGAACAAACTCATGGCTTTGTACATATTTGGCTCTAGTTCCTGGCATCTCTGGCTACTGGCCAAAATGGTTGATGCTGAAGGAAGTTGATGTCAAAAATTTGTGAAGGTGAACAAATCCCTTATTCATGATATAAGCAAATTGAATGATATTCGGGAAGGACAAAAAATTTGGCGAATTTGGAAATTTAATGTAAGCTTAACTTCAGAAAAAGAAGATTCAAGATGGACCTGCTCAGAAAGTGATATTTGGAATATAAACAATAAAAGAAATGACAAAATACACAAAATACATATTTAGGGAGCTATGCAATGTAATGATGTTTATGGGATAGGATAATTGTTGCCAAATATAAATACTTCAATCTGAATGTTACTGCACCTTCTAGCATCTTTCAGAGATGTTCATGCATTTAAAAATGTAATTCAACAACTTCAGAAAGAGAAGGGAGTTAAAGCATTACAACAAGGGCAGAGGTGAAAGAGAGTCATGGATGAAGAAACAAAAAAGGTACTAGGAATTGAAGCCATGGGAGCGTGGAAGTGGCAGGAGGCAGAGAGAACAAGAGAGAGCAAAACAGAGGGAAACTGTGTGGAAGGCTGGTTAGAAATAGAATTTTATTACCAAAAGACAAGATGACAAGATGACATTTCACATTGACATTTAAAAATTCATTTAATTTGCATCTTGTTTAGGCATCAACAAAAATCATTCTCCATGTTACCTGACCAAAGCTGATTGTTTTAGGAAGCCAATATAAGGATTCAGGCACCCACAACTCTGTTTTCCAAAACAGAGGGATGCCCAGGGAAATAGTAGCTAACGTTCTCTCACAACTCACTAGCCAGATCCTGAGGCAATGCTTTAATTCCAAAGATGACTAAACCAATGGTGAGAAAGAGAAAATTACTGGAATAAATCATGGCACGTAGGATGCCCTGCATATATTGAGCCAAAAGTTCTACCCAGAGTTTAGCAGTGCTGAAATGTAAAATATGGTTAGCATGAGTGAAGCTTGTCTCGCATGGAGATCAAAGTGCAGATTTGGGAGAAAAACTAGAAATGCTAAACTGTAAATGAGCCTCAGAGGGTGTTAGAAGTGCCCGCTTACATATATTTCAAAGAACATAGAAAGAAAATCAAGCTTTACTCACCCTATATCACTAGGTTGCTCAATGAAAGTTGTGCAGACTTTCTTCTTGAAATATTTGGGGATCCATGCCTGGAAATAAATCACAGTTACTATCAGCATCTTCCAGAGATTTAGGTAACTCAATCCACACCAAACATCTGATTGAAGACCAAATACCTGATCTTTATGGTCGGAAGTGGCCATGGAGCAGAGCAATCAGTCACAGCCACAGGCTGCTTGGAGCAGAAGTCCCAAACCACAGTGCCTACTGTCTAATCTAAACCTGTGTGTGAGTGAGAGAACAAGCAGGAAGAACAGTCTCATAATCCAGCCTCTTGGCAGCAGTACCGCACCCTATGCAGGAACTTGTTGAACTGGATAAACACCACCCAGTGGGTAGAATGAAGCTCCCCAAGAGCTAGATTTTCAACAGTTATCTGCCTAGCAGTATTTGTATTATTGATGGGTCTGTGTGTTTGTCAGGGTGTGGGCACTGAGATGCTCAACAGTGAAATTCTACTTTAAAGTCCTCTCAATGTTACCCAGTTCATATCTTCACTCTGCCATCTGCAATTTTCATATTCATAATAGGGGGAGGAAAGGAGCATTAGGTATGCTCACTGCCTTGAGTTATTTATAAAAATAATAAGGGTGGGATTTAAAAAAAAATCTAAAAAAAATATGTTAATCGGCTTCTTTCTGTACAGGCAACAGATGTGCTAGAAAGTCTGGAAGTGTTTTTCTTCCCCTGCATTTAAACAATCAAGTCCTGTAATTTGCTTTAATTGGGCATGGAGTGTTGAGCTATTAGTGGGTGGAGAACTGAGGTGAATTGGTTCATTTTGGAGGTTTTCTCTCTTTCTGTTGTCATTTCTAATTCCTCTGAGGGTGGGAGAGATTTGCAGGATATCACATTGTTATTGCAAATGGAAAAGGACGACAGTAAAAGCTTTATAGCAAGGGTTGGGCTTTATTTATTTATTTAATCGATTACACTCACTCTAGGGCGGTATTTCTCAACCTGGAAATTGTATGATGTGTGAACTTTCCCAGCCAGCATATTTCTATTTACTTCTTTCTTTTGTTCTTTTTCCTTCTTTCCTTCCTGTTCTTATCCTCTTTCTCCTCCTCCTCCTCCTCTTCTTTCATCTTTCTTCTTTCTTTTCCCTATTCAAGCACTGACCTTATGCATATGCACCTATTTAAATGAATAGATATGTAAACAAGATATAACTGCTATATAATTTGAGTAGAAATAAAACATAGTTCCCCATCATTTTGAAAGCTGTAAACAGGTGCCCAGTTCACTTTGATTTTTGATGGATTCCTTTTGTAATGTCAAGTGGGAAATTCTAAGTTTCCCTTCTTCAAATTCTGTAGTTTTAAACCCCAGCCTTGAAGTGGGAATTCTTCAAATACACTACTCAAAAGCGACTGTTTAACATCCCCAAGAAGATTGTCCACTGCCAACATGCATGTACCTGCCCTGACAAGGAGTATTAGTAGCACTATCAGATAAGCTGATCCACCGTTCTCCACTCCATTTTTAAAAAGTGTGTGGGATGAAGGGTTAACAACAGAGGTGATGTTTTAGGAAGTATATGAACACTATAGAGAGGAAATGCTTTCAATAAATTATCCTGTCCTACAAAAAGTATTGGTTATTAAATGCTAAGTTATTAATTAACTTAAGGGCAAATGCATACCAAAATCTGGAGGGAAAGGCTTCAGCTTTCCATAATACAGGATTGAGTTCTTACTCTAAAACCTTTATTCATCTCACCTTTGAATGCTTGCTCTGAAACAGGGTTCAGGCATGTTTTTCTTTCTTTCTTTTTTTCTTTCTTTCTTTCTTTCTTTCTTTCTTTCTTTCTTNAGTCCTTCGGGAGTGGGCGGCATACAAAACCAATAAACTAAACTAAACTAAACTAAACTAAACTAAACTAAACTAAAATAAGAGGAAAAGAAATGTAAAATCATTTTTAGTTCCTGGGAAAAAGGCAGGATGTAATTGTAATTAATTAATTGTAATTTAATAAATTTATATGCTGCCCAATCCCGTAGGAGTCCGGGCGGCTAATGTAATTCAAATAAAATAGTTGGGCAGCTGTATGTATTTGTACTATCCAAACAATAAGTTGGCTGTCCTACTATTGTTTAAAAAATAAACAGCAGCATAATAAATATTTGATGCATTGTGTAGTTTTGTTCTTGGACCATAACTACTGCAGCCAGCCTAAGAAATAATTATACTGAGTTTATGCATTCAGCAGAATGTGGTGAAAATTTTGTACTATGGAATCATATTTTTAAACACTCTCCTATATTGACAGTTTTAAGAGAAATAGGGGAAATATATTTTAATAAATATATTTTAATAGCATTTATATGCTATTTTTCTGCCTGTAGGAAGCTTTATTTCTCTGGAGAAATTCAGTTAAAATGATTAATTGTGCAATTGTGTTTTAAACTTTAGCACTGCAGGTTGTTGTATGAATTTGGGCATGTGACTGGGGGATTTGGTGTGTGTTCGGGTGGGGGAATGCCATTGACTGGACAATAAAATATCACAGACAATAGGAATAGACTATATGTCAATTTCATTTTCTCTCCACTTGTTATTTTTGTGAACTGCAGGATATTGTAGCAGTTGAAAATATCCTTCCATTGTGAAACGCCTCAATCACTTGACTGCAGGGCTTTTGCAATTGTCGTAAATGCAAAGACTGATCTTAAAGTTATTTTTTCATCCCAGTCATAACTTTAAATGATTACTAAGTCATTAAGCAAGTACTACCTGAATATACATGAATTTATAATTGAGTATCTATATGTGGGCTGTAAGAATCCAATGATCACTAGATGGGAGCAAAGAGTTATAAGAGATTCCAATTCTTGGCTCTCTAAGTAGTAAGTGTGCCACCATTTGCTAAACCTATTTTGAGGGAGGTAAAAAGTTATGATGTGGAAAAGTTATGCGTAAAGCCAGAATTGTTCAGATTTTTTTTCTTCCTCAAGGTTTGTACTTGCCTATTTTATTTTTTATTTTTAAATGTGTGTTGCTTGGGATAAAGCTAGAGTATTTACAAGTTTCCTGCCTCAGAATATCAAGTATTAAGAGTTGCTGATTTTTTTTTTAACCTTAGTATTTTTTTAACCATTTGCCAAAGCTGGGAGAAAGTTTTGAGGATTGGAAAATATAAATGTATAGGCTGCTTGGGGCTTCTCAAATTAACACCTGTCACTCTCATTTGAGCAATTCTTTTCTTAAAACTGTTTTTAACCACTCTGATATATAATCTGCATGCTTTTCTTTTCCTCACCAATACTTTCTGGAATAATATTTTTGAAATATGGCAGCACTGAAAGTTATGTTGTGTTGCTGTGTAGCCTAGTGCAGGGCTGTTCTGGTTGTCAGAGAACATATTTCTCTTGTGAAACTTCCTAAGGGGAATTATTACTGGATAATCACTATGCTCTACTCCTGAAATATTATGACCAGGGAAGGCCAGAGCGGTGTTTTTCAGACTCAGCAGCAGTGGTGGGCTTCTCTTACTACTGGTTCTGTGGGCGTGACTTGTTGGGTATGGCAAGGGAAGGATACTGTAAAATCTCCATTTCTTCCTCACTCCAGGGAAAGGTTACTGCAAAATCCTCATTCCTCCCAATCAACTGAGACTCAGAGGCAGAGAATAGATGGGGGTGGGGCCAGTCAGAGGTGGTATTTACCGATTCTCCGAACTACTCAAAATTTCCACTACCAGTTCTCCAGAACTGGTCAGAACCTGCTGAATACCACCTCCGCTCAGCAGATGTAAGATATGTGGACTCCACCTCCCAGAATTCCCATCCATCCATTATGGGAACTCTGCACATCATAAATCTTGCTGAGCCTGAGAAACACTGGGCTAGTTAGATAAGGCACGATCGTCTTTCATTTGCATCCTTCCCCATTTCCTCAATAATTATCCCATTTTATTTCTTATTATTGTTAAAGTGGGAAGACTAGCTCNTATATATATATATATACACTACTATAATTCCTGTAACCTTTAACTGGGTGAAGCAATGGACTATAAGCCAAAACATTTTGAACCAAGGTGCCTTAAATGGGCTTATAGAATGTGTCTAAAATCAAGGATCCATGGCTCCCAAGAAATTGAAATGTGACAAATTTTATAAAACATTTTATGACATAAATATTATCATAAAGCATATTTATGTCATAACATGGGATTGATCCCATGTTTTTGTTATTTTAATGTCTTATGTTTTAATTGGTTGTGTATTTAAATGATTTTATAAATCTTTAAATCCTTGATTGAGAGCCATTTAGAGTCGGTAGAAAAATGTATGGCTATATAAAAGTTATAAACAAACAAACAAACAAACAAATATCCTGTGTTCATATTTCACTGTGCTCTACAGTTTAACATAGGCTATTTTGAAGATAGATAAGGTAGATATAGCTCAGATTTTTCAGTGAGTATTGTACACTAGAAGTTCTGTCATCATTGAAAGCATTTAGAAATCTAGTAAATAAATGTCTCTGAATCTATGACTCAACAGGCATGGGTTGTCTAAACTACATACTACTAAAACTCTGATTCCTGTAACCATTAACCAGGTGAAACAATGCGTCATAGGGCAAAACCTTTAAACCAAAGCATTTCAAATGGAGTAACAGAATGCACAGCATGATGACTGTGGGATTAAAAATTTGACATGACAAATTAAAAAAAATGAACAATATTATCATAAAGTAGTCTATGACATAATACAATATATAATACAACATATCCTATGCTGACATTTGACTATAGTATACATATAAACACCTGTTATTTTCAAGGCAAATACATCCCTGAATATATTGCAGTCTTTCAGTGAAGGCTCTGCATTACATTTTGTGTTATTGTTGAAGGTAATAAAGAATCAGATAAGGAAATATCTCCGAAAGGATGATCTAAAGTCATGATGGCGAACCTATGGCATATGTGCCCGAAGTGGCATGCGGAGCCATGTTGTCTGGCACACGCGGCATCGCCCATTCCTCTTCCAGGTTCCTGGCACGCATGGGCACACAATGATCAGCTGGTCTTCCATTTTCTGGCGTGTGCATGCAAGCCGGACAGCTGATCAGCATGTGCGCATGTGCGGCAGTAATTGGAAGACTTGCTGGCCAGCGTGCATACGTGCGCTGGAAACCAAAGTTCAATCAGAAGCTCCTTTCCCTGGTCACGGCCCAGATGAGCAAACAAAGTACTTTCTTTTTGGCAC